GTGTGTGTGTGTGTGTGTGTGTGTGTGTTTTAAAAGTTATAAGTATATATTTAAAAAGTTCAGAACTCATATTGGGTCAGGCCGTGAATCAGTGTTCTCACTGAATGAAATACTCTGTTTTATTCCTGAATTTATGTATTTGCTACATGTTGTGTTCATGGTTGTGTGTTTAAAGGCATAAATTTGAAAAATAAACAAAAAAAGATTTTAAAAAGATTGTTTAATTTCACAACCCCATCGTTGAAGGTTTAGAACATTAAAGGCTAGCTCTTTAAAAAGTAAAAAAATAAAAAAAAGAAAGACAGAAATTGTTACTCCTGTCTTTTTTTTTCTTTCCCAGACTGCTGTGTTCACTGTATCCTGGCCTGCCTGTTCTGTGAGTTCCTAACTCTGTGCAACATCGTACTGGACTGCGCCACCTGCGGCTCCTGCGCGGGCAACGACTCGTGTTTCTGCTGCTGCTGCATGTCGGAGGAGTGCGGCGACTGTGACCTGCCCTGTGACATGGACTGCGGCATCATTGACGCCTGTTGCGAGTCTGCAGACTGCTTGGAGATCTGTATGGAGTGCTGCAGCCTCTGCTTCTCTTCCTGAGGGCCCTTTGTCTGACACAAACTACTAAGTGGATGCCTCCCGCACATTCTCATTCTCAAGGCCTGCGAACAAATACAACTGGCTTCTTAATGCAAATAAGAAGTGCTACACCCGGTCTGGGTTCATCGTGATTTACACTCTGGTGGTGTAGCGGCTCTGCAATACATTCAACACCACCTTCAGGGTTTACAAATCACCATTTGTGACCTATTCTTTCTTTATTTTTATTGATCAACAGTAACTTTTCTCTGTTTCGCCATAGTTGTTGGTTCACATGTTCGGGCGTGTGGAGCAGAGAAAATTCCAGCACTGATCTGTAACTTTCTGCCGGGCTGTGCAGACCGAGCTTTTGGACCCTCGCTGAACTAGCTATGATTACAATGGAACCCCCTAGTGCCATCTAAATTACTGGAGTTCTTCAAGCATGTAAAATGACCTCTAAAGGCAAATGAGAAAATGGCTCCATTTAACCGGATTTTAGTGTTTCTGTAGATAAGAGCAGCAGAATAATGGGAAAAAATGGTCGCTCAGATCTCTGTAGAAAGCGCCGTCTGTCCTCCTGTCCTTGGCAAGGTTAAAGTCTTCCAGTCTGCGCACAGTGGCCTTTAAAAAAATAGGAAAGAAAGAAAGAAACAGAAAAGTGGGAGATGCTGAATCTGTTTTTGTCCTTGTTGTATTGTGCAAAAACACAAAACAGACGTGGTGGTTTGATGCAATAATAGAAATAGACTTTATTTGTTATTGTGCATGTTTTTGTACCTGAACTCTTTGTCCATCAGCCTGAATCTACTAAATGAGAAATGAGCATCAAAGAACAAATGGCTCGTATAGGAGGGTATTCGTAATGACCTCTCCTTATTTAATGCTTCAAATCTTGTTTTCTCAATCTTTTCTCACCTGGTAAAAACTGGAAGACATTGTCTCCTTTTTTTGTGTTAAATACATTTCATTTTTCTCTCAATCTCTTCATGTGATGAAATAGCCTTGGCTTAAGCTTAAGGCTTGAATTTCCATGCAGGTTCCTCGCCTTTTGCAAAAAAAAAAAAAAAGAAAAAAGAAAAAGAAAAAGAAAAGAAAAGAAAAGGAAAAAAACTCCATTAATCCTTGTTTTGTAGATTTTAGTTAAGATATTTGCATTTCTCCTCTAATGTGAAAAAAAGAAAAATCACATTTCTGTGTTATCGGTCTCTGTAAGGCAGACATTGCTCAGCATCTAATTCCTTGAGTGAAAATCTCATGAAATTATGCTAAGCTAGATCCACATGCTTTCTGTATGAATGGTACAGTCTTGATAAGAGGCCTGCTCCTTCAAACACTATGGCGCATACTTATTTTTTTTCTTCAAACCAATACCTCTTGAGATGTCGCGTAGATCAGTGGTGCATTTTAAAGTGGCTTGATACAAATCTCTTCCCTCTTTTTAAATACTGTTACAGAACTCATTTTATTCTTCTAAACAGTAAAGACGGATCTTTTCTGGACTTTCGTTTTAGACCTTTTACTTTCTTGTGCATAGAAGGGCTAATGTGCTATTTGTGAAACCCTATTTTAAGGGTTGTAATGTTACACTTTGACCTAAAGACAAACTATTGTAGTATTCAACTTGATAGCAGAACATGCAAAATGCATTTTGCTGCTTTTACTTTAATATTATATGTGGAGTTTACCTAATGCAGCTTGTGAATCAAACTGGATGTGTTCCTACTTGTTGGGATGCTCAAATTCTGGGGAGTCTTTGAAACAATTTAAAAAGAGGCTGATGAAAGGATAACTTGTTGAATAAAAAAAGAAAGAAAGGAAAAAAATGATTTGTTTGTGCTTAAAAAAGGTGCTTCGTGTTGGGTTCTGTTTTCTGTCACCAGACCAGGAGGACATAGTGATAAATGTCTCTGATGTGTGTGAACTCATCTCATGAAAGCAAAACAAAACAATAAAAATGCTTCCTTAACAACAGACAACAAACTTTATACTAGAGGATCATGCATGTATGTGCGATACATTCAGGTTGCACAATAAAAATGGAGCAAATTTTTAAAAATGTTTCATGAAATATATATTGAAGTATGATTTTTAAATGGTTTAGATGAGACATTCTGCACTGTTTACTTGGTTTGGTGACAGTGTCCAAACATTGAAATTATTTATGAATTTCATACACGTCATCTCTAAATATATGCCTTGCAAAACATCAAAATGTTACATTGATGCTGGAAAACAATATGTTTAGATTCAGACATGTTCAGTATTGAGTGTTTCTGTTATAATTTCCTCCACTGTTTATGAACGTATTGTGAATGAAGCAATGAAACTCACATACTGAATTTCAAAAACTGCCTGGGTTCAGTTATAAGAGAGACTATTGATTATTATTATTATTATTGATTGATTGATTGATAATAGCAGCAGCCCAGCTGAGTTGTTTCGAGATGCTCCTCCACTATACAATGTCATTTTGTTTACATGATCCCAGTTTAGTTTCAGTTGCTGTTCTGGAAGTCGCATTAAGATTTCTTTGTTTAATACTGAATAAACAATGTGAACTCCACACTATCACGTCTCCTGGTTTTTAAGATTATAAAACTGTTGCATTAATACTGAACATAAAAGATTTATTTGTGTAGAAGTGTGGTACTATTATAATCAAAATGGAAGAACTACTTAAGAGAAAAGTATAAAAGATTTTGATACTAACACTTGTATCACAGCTGCTTCAAAAGATTTGGATGCTTCCACTGTTATGCACGTCTTTTTTTTCATAAATTTTTCATTAAAAGAACAATTTTTCACATTCTGACAGCCATTTGAAACTCAGTATCTTTTTATGACTATCAACCTTTTACTCAAATTTAGTGACACACTAAATAAATACAGTAAATGTGTATAGGATTACACATTATACAACATTACAAACATAAGCATATTGTATGAGATTAAAAACACTCAACAGTAAAGACATTGACAAAAGAATAAGTTGTGGAAACTTAGAAGGTGAGATCAATTCAAAATAAGGAAAAGTGAGTTTTTGTTTTGAAGCTTTTGTCTTGTGGGTTTGTTTTGTGAATACTTGTCCATACACGCAGTATTTATTATGAGAGAAATGTTGAAGAGCTGCAAACTGAACTACTGACCTGCAACAGGAAGCTGACTGAGCTGCAGCTAAACCCCACTGGCTCATCTTATCTGGAGTTCAGACAAAGTAAGTCCATAAAATTACATTCAGCTGAACAGAGGAGGAATGCAACCGGTGCTAAAACACTTGTGAAATACAATAGTGACTGTTAAAAAAATGAAATATTTTCTTTTTCCTCAGTTTGTTATTTTGCTTTATTTGGCTCAACTTAAAGGTTCAGACAGAACAAAACAAAAAAAACCAAGTGAGGATGTAGAATTCTATGTTTCAGAGTTGTGAGATTTAAGTTGAAATGTTGAGATAAAAGTTGATATGTTGAGAAAAAAATGTTTCAAGATTAAGTCCAAGAAGTGCTTTGTGCTTCAGAGCCCTCATGTATTTGTCTCATTTTCAAATTACAGCTGAAGGCGAAGTGTGTATTTATACAAGATAAACTACAAAGGAATAAACAAAAAGCTTTTTATTACAGGATACAGTTTATTAGTCCCACAGCAGCAGAGCTCACAGAACATACTTAAAACAACACACAGGTCCATGCCATGGGCACTAACAACCCCCCATACCATCAGAGAGGCTGGATTTTGAACTTTGAACTGAGAACAATCCAGACAGTCCTTTTCCTCTTTGATCCAGAGAACACAGCTCCATGATTATCAAAAACAATTGGAAATGTGGACTCGTCAGAGCACAGGACACTTTTCTACTTTACATCAGTCCATCTCAGGTGAGCTTCGACCCAGAGAAGCCAGCAGCGTTTCTGGGTGTTGTTGACATCAGGTTTTTTTATTATTTTATTTTTTTAGCTTTATTTAATCT